AAATACTTAAACAGGGCTATCATATCCCCTCTTAACCATCTCTTCTCTGGGTTAAACATACCCAGTTCCCTAACTCTCCTCAAAGGGTTTTATGGTTTCCAGACTCTTCACCATTTTAGTCGCCCTCCTCTGGACATGCTTCAGTTTCTCAACACCCTTTTTGAATTATGGTGCCCAGAACTGGACACAGTTTTCCAGATGAGACCTGCCCAAAGCCCTTGTTGGTCAGTTGGTGAAAACCAGCATGGTGTATTAGTTTTGAGTGTTGGACTATGACTCTGAAGACCAGGGTTCAAATCTCTGCTTGGCCATGTAAACCCAATGGATGATCTTAGGCAAGTCACACTCTCTTAGTCTCAGAGGATAGCAATGGCAAACCCTTTCTGAAGAAACTTGCCAAGGAATCCCCATGATAGTTTTCACTTATGGTCACCATAAGACGGAAACAACTTGAAGGCATACAGGTCACTTGGAGCTCATCAGTGTCACTGCTTTTGAAAATAAGGTGTGGGACCTGCTAGGGAACTAGGGGTGGTCCCCAAAACTGCATTATACTATTCAGTGTAGATGCACCCCCTTTTTGCCCATTCATGATCATCAGGAATATTTTCTTTTCCTATCAAAATCTTGGCAATTCCTTTCCCTTTCTTTTTTTTAAACTGGGGGAAAGGCAAGGCAGAAGGAATGTAATGTAAATTTCTATCCCCTCCGCCGCCACACACACCCCATTCTTCCAGTTTCAAACCCTAATCTCTCCATCAAATCTCAATTGGAAATGCAACTCTGTAGAATAAGCCTTCTGAGTGAGGGTTATGACTGGGACTAATTAAGGAGCTTTAATTACCCAGATCATTAGCAGCAGATTATTTCAGCTACCAGTCTTGAAAAACTGCAAGCTAATCACTTGCTAATCTGAGAAAACAGCCTTGCTAGATGGGGGAAATGCCACTGTATACAGGACAACCGGCTTTGTTTGCTTCCACCTTTCCACACACAACTTTTCTCATTGTTTCTTCCTGAAAGGTTAGAGAACAAATATATGTAGGAAGTCAATCATGACTTCGGAGATGCTGTTGAATGCATCTTACCTGCCATGCAGCTATGTGAATGAGCCTATTTAAGCTTTTCTCCTCAATAATAATAATAATGTATATTCATAATGTGTTTTTCACAAAAGAGCAGTACATCAAATATATACAGTCAAAAATGAATGATAAAACACACTATAAAATGCTAAAATACTAAAATAATATACTAATATGCTAAAACCAAAATCCTCTACATCTAGTGTGTAATGTAACAGGAGATCTGAACCAAGTATTTCTAGCGTTAAATCAACTTATTTATTGTTAATGTCCAATAAGAACAAATTATGGTTAGTCTGAGTTAGGGATTTTTTTTAAACAAGCCAAGATAAAAACGTAGGCCCTAAGCAGACGACTAAAAAAGTCGTCTTCCAGGCAGGGAAGAGGAGGGGCAGCTGCACGAGCGGCGCCCCTTCCTCTCCCCGAGGTCGCCCCCAGAAGCGCCGTCCGTCCGCACGGCGGCGCACCGGGGATGACCTCACGGCGCAGCGCCCACATGCGCCACGGCGTTTGAGTCAGGGAAAGTGCACCCACCACTTTTAGGGCGCACTTTCCCTGAAATCTAAAAGGAGCGCCAATTTGGTGCTCCTTTTAGATTCGCCGCAGGGGCACTGTGGTGCGGAGCCTCCGCTCCGCCGGCGCCCCGACCCGCGGTGACTGGGAAGCAGTCGTCTGCTTCCCCCCATAGTTTCTGATTGTGGCTTGATACGGTAAATCTCAATTTAACTGTGCTCTCTAGTTTGATATAAAGATAAAGTGGTTAACTTAAACTGGGAAGTGGATAATCTTCTCTTTTTCCAGGGGACAACCCAGGACTTTCTTTTTAAAATCAATTTTAAATAATATAAATAGCATAAGATGTGAGCTGTATAAGTGGAGAGCATTTTTCTCTTCTTAGAATTTGTGTTAAATACTCTTGTTAAATACCATTCCTGATGACAACAGACTTAAATTCTCTTTTTGCTCATCCTTGATTACCCTCTTCTATCTAGCTGTTCTCTATCCAGAATTAAAAGTAGGTTGTAATCTTGAGGGAGAGACATGTAGAGTTACAAGCACTGTAAAGTACAATGTATATTGGGATGGAAATCATGTAGCTATACAGATGTTCTTGTATAACAAGTCAGAGCATTCATAGAATCATAGAGCTGGAAGAGACCACAAGGACCATTCATTTCATTTTCAACACTTCCAAGGAAGTGTAGTGACGCTCACTATATCATTTCTGCTTTCGCAAACCAGTGAGTCAGTTTGCGAAAAACAAAAATGTAGATTTCCCAGCACATGATCCATTTTCCCAGGTGCATCATATACACTTTCACATATTTTTACATTTTATATACATATTACAATTACATATTATAATATTAGATATTACAGGTGCATCACAGATTCATAGAGTTGGAAGAGACCCCAAGGGCCATCCAGTCCAACCCCCCTGCAATGCAGGAACTACAGTCAAGGCATCCCTGACAGATGGCCATCCAGCCTCTGTTTAAAAACCTC